TTCCTCCTCCTCCTCCTCCTCCCCCCAACCAGTCAAAGTTGCAACGAAGAAGCGAACGCGCCCGTGGAACCAGAATCCAATTAGCGTGGCTACCTTTACAGAACTCTACATTAGTCACTGGACCTGGCAGCGACCAACCACCAGGCCAAATTAATCCGGAACGGTTCAAAGACAATGCGCGCCCCTCGAACTCGCCCCCCGAACCCGGGCTCAGGGTGATGGATTAGGTATTAAACGGTTGTTTTCACAAGGATTAGCGTTTCACCGACCTGTGGAGCACGCCTGCGGATCGCCCACAGACTCGGCCTGCACTCGAGCCAGGGGTGGATGACGGCGTCGAAGATGACGATGGGCCTCGATCCTCGTCTCGATGCTCATCTCGTCCGAAGGATTTTGCGCGGAAGTCGTGTTTTCTCTGGCGCAGATACATCCGTAGATATCGTGCGGCTGCCACTCAACCGGATCCTAGTTCCTCCCCCCTCCCCTCCCCCTTCCTCCAGCTGACAATGAGAAAAGTAGGGTTCGAATGGTCGTCACGCAAAGTGCACCGGTCGCGGCTAGCTGCAGCGCGATCCACGATAAACTATTCGTCCAACTCTAGTGTTTAGTGCAACAGCTTCTAGAAGGTGTTATTTTTTGATCCAAAATTTATTCGATTTTCGTGGAAACCGTTGACTTGTACGGGAACTTTGTACTGGCGTCAGAGATATTTATGCATACTTATTCATATACATACGAATGAGAATGCTTTTGTTTTTTTTTAAACGATTTTTAAATTGCTGTTCACACAGTTATTCGAGAATTGCTCGTTTCAAAAGCTATGCAGATATAAACGCATTAACAATATATTGCAATAATCTTCTCTATTTTTATTTCTTTTTTTTTTTCTTCTTCTTTTTACCAGTGTTAAATTTTCTAATTTTCTTCAGCAAGGAAAAATAAGTTTCGTTTCGCAAATTTAATTCTATTTTTCTATATATCGACAACAATGTATATTCTTTCTAAAATAATGGAACTGACCAACGACTACAGAATTATCTAGAAGAAAATTTAATCTGCATCCGAACTTTTCGTATCTAAGGATAGAAATTCCACTTCTAAATGGTTTATCTAATTTTCTTCTCGGTGACGGACACGCATTGATGTTTTACGTTCCACGATCGAGAGTATATGTACATATATATATAGATCGGCAAATTGCCTCTTCGAGGACGATTATTCCCGTTGAATAACTGGCAGATCGATCGATCGTGTACACGCGAAAATCGGGAAGGGAACGAGATTGCGAAGGAAGTTGGGAACGCACGACCGTTCGCAAATGAGCGAATTATGGCAAAGTAGCAGTTTCACCGCGACGCGAGCGGTTTTCAGCGGCCGTTTTGCATACGGCCGAGCGTTAATGATCTCGCAACGCGGCCGCTCTATACTCGAGAAAAATGTGTCGTAAAACCGTAAACTCCTTTCGTCCACCGATTTTTCTTACTTGGCCGCACTTGCGTTGCATCAGAGGCTGTGATTAACAGGCGGTTGATCGGCTAATCAATGGCCAACGAGCGGCGATAAATTCGTTGTGTTCGTGATAAGAAATGCGATTCGATACTGCGTGACGTTCTCATACAGCGTACGATGTGTTCCATTTGTGGGAATTTATGGATGGATTCGTGTTTTCAGAATTTATGGAATATCAATGTGGACGAATATTCTTTTAATCGAGTGAATGATATTTTAAAAAAATAAATTTCTTAATGATTCTTTGCAATGAAATTATTTCGATAAGAAGATTTTTCGCGAGTGATCGAATACGTGACAAATTCATAAAAACATATAGATTATAATCAATATTATGTTAGTCAATTAGCATGTTAAAAAGCATATATTTAATCTGAACACAAAAAAACAATTATAATATGAAATTGGCTGACGGTATATAAATTTTCAAACAGGAAATGTTATAATTACCACATTATTTCTTTATTATTCTCAAAACACAAGTATATAAATATTGCTTCTCCGCCCAATTAAACCACCAATAGAGGTATAGTACTTTTCAATAATTCTTGCAAGTAAACATCGATCATTACGTGAAAATATATATAGGCATTACAAACAGATAAGAAAGCAGCCATTATTCGTTTCAAAGTATGCGATATATATTCGGTGACATCACGACTCCCCTCACCCGCCAACCATAAAAACCGATAGAAACACCGAATAAACATTATCGCGTTCACCTGACTGAATATGGCGTAGGTTAATGTATTCGACGATATCGGTCACGACAGCGCAAAAACAGCGTCTCATTGAACGAAGGACACCGCCTTCTCGAAGAATCTTTCGCCTATGGAAACCTCGTGTATATCAACACGATTACTCATTCGTCACAATGGCGGCGAACAGTGCGGTGTATCCGCGAGGATAAGCAGCGTGCAAACGGGATCGCTCGTTAATAAAATGTATCTGCTATTTTACGCGTAATCAGAATTACGGCCGTGTCGTTTCGCGATCGATCTTGTAACTCGTTGATCCACGGGTTACCCCTTACACGCCCTCGCTTCCCTTTCTGCAATAAATCATAAGAATTTTACGTCGTCGTGCGTACTCGCGTGTGATGTGTGTGTGTGAGTGTGTATGTGTACAGTGTACGTGGCATCGTATATACGCAAAATTCGATCGCTAATTCCAAATTGCTATTATAATTTCAGATTTCGTCGTTTTCTTTTCTTCCATTTCTATCTTTTCTGAAACGCGGAAAGCATGTGAAGTTAAATTAGAGGCCACGTACTTTCGATACGTACTTGGCGAATTTTTATCATTGTTGACACTTTTTTGGATCACCATCGGTGGAAAATGACAAGGCTCGCCTGTTTGGATTTCTAAATGACTGTGTTACGTTCAAGGATTCACACCGTGCGCCATATTACGCTACATTGTAATTAGGGTATAAACATAATGGCGCGATCGTACGTACGATAGCGTTGGCCGGGCTGGCACGATGCGTTTATTTAGTCGGTGCGTAATTATTCGATGATTAATTTATAACAATTTTTTTTTAATTAATTACACTATGGTTAGCACTCCGATATTGTTCGCCGCGATAACGATCACACGTGGCAAATTACACGAGATTAATCATGATTTATCGCGGCTACCTACGCCCGAACCTTTGTCGCGATCTTCGACAATCCTTCCATCCTCTTTCCTCTCCATCCAGAATCAACTCTACCGTATCTTTTATCTTCTTCCCTCGCGTTTCTTTCCCAAATCCGTTCTCGAAATCGAAATAGTTCCAACTTTCTGTTCAATTTCTCTTTAGTTCGTACACAATCGGTGACGAGGATTCTGAAAGTTGATATTAGGGTGGTGCATGTTCGCAGACCTCTCGCCATTGGGTGACAAGGGTGGCAGTCTGGTCGACGAGCTTGGAGGTGGTGGCGGCGGTTCCTTGAGGAACGGTAAAGGGAAGAAGATGAGGAAACCACGGACGATTTACAGCAGCCTTCAGTTGCAACAGCTCAACAGGCGGTTCCAGAGAACGCAATACCTCGCGTTACCGGAAAGAGCGGAGCTTGCGGCGAGTCTTGGATTAACGCAAACGCAGGTCAGTTTCTTCTTCGAGTACGTCCCTTCTCTTTCGTTTTTTTCCCCTCCTCCCCTCCCCCTTTTTTCTCTCTCCACGATCAATCCTCCTTCCCTCTCACGGAAGTACCGATCTAAGGTGTTCTCACGTGCACGATCGTCGACGAAGATGATGCACGCCCGCACTCGTCACGCGAAACAACACGCGGATATGTTGTTCCGTGACTCTTTACGCCTGGAATCCACTGTGTTTTCACGTTATCTCGGCAATTAAGTCCAGGTTTCCATGAAAATTTCATTCGGTTCAGCTCCGGGTACGCCGGGAAAATCCCTCTACGGAAACAAGTAATATCTTCCGATGTTACGTTCAGAAGAAGATATAATTGAGTTCGGGTGAGATATATACGACTATTTCAACGATGATGCTTAGGTTTAATTTAACCCATGTATTATTCCTATATTATCACATAGCGGAGGAGGAGCAGTCGTCGTATTTTATTTTTACACCCCGATGCCGCATTTCGAATTGCCGCAATGAATTTTATTGCACCGAAGTACCGTTAGCGCAATGTAGTATTCATAAAACATTTTAAACTTAAGGGATCACCTAAGAATATTAAAGTTTTCCAAATTAGAAACTAAGTCTTCCTATCTTCCATATCCTCAAATATAAAAATATTTTTTAAACAACAATCGAAACAATCGAACCCTCTTTTTATTCACTCAATCTTAGAAGATTCTAAATTCTAATCTTCCAAGATTTTGTATCGAAAATTGGGATTGATTCGTCGAAACATCAATACCACGATCCTTTTATATTTCCATTAAAAAAGCCGCGTATAAATTTCTACGCGATATTCGCGAGAGATAGTCATGTTTCCACCCCTCGAAATCACGAGGAGATCCTGTTGCGCGCACAGTCCAGCGTAACAGGACCCAGGATGGACGGCATCTGTCAACATTATCGGCACAAATGACTTTACTAAATCACCGATCCGCCACGCCCTGGACATCGGGGATAGGGTTGCCAGAGTGGTAGCGTGTCGAGAGGGGGAGAAACGGAGCGCCGCGAAACGCTAACGAGGCCATCGTAAATTATCATTGTGTCCGAACGATCGCGAAGTTTTTCCACCTTTCCACGGTGGACATCGCGGCGGGCTTTCCCCTAATTATCAGGCTCGGTTTCCAATTAACGATTTATTAAGGGAGGGAGCCGTGGTCAAAAGGATAATTGGAGCCGGTCTCCTCGAGGCCATGAATTTCTCGCGGATAGTCCCACAGTTTCCAATTAACGATTTATTAGATCGCGCCTCCGAGCTAATTGTAACGAGGCTCAACTACCTCGCAAAATCTTTGCCTCTTATATATAGCGGTGTTCACTCGATTTACGATCTACTCGTACAATCGAAGTTCGTGATTTTATTCCTCGAGTTTCTATCAATTTTCAATCAATCGTCGTTTCAGATTAAATTTTAATCTCTCTTCCCAATTAAAAAGAAGGGAAGAGAAATGAAATCGCGATTAATATATTTTTATTCATGTTTATTTAGAGTGGGGATTATAGAGATTTTTATATCTCGTAAATATTGAATATAACGAGTGTAATCTTACCGACAATGGAAATTGATCCTCAAATTGATTTACTTGTGCCCCGATCTCCCTTCGCTCAATAGACGTCAAAAGGCCATAGGTTTTCACATAGGTAGACACGTTGTGATACGTAACTGCGTAATCACGGGATAACTGGCTGTCGTAGGTTGGTGATGTCGTCGCAGGGGGTCCCGGACCGGATAATTTCATTAGTCTGAGCTCCGCGGGAGTTGTTCCCCTTCCCACTTGGGCGCAGAGAATCGAGCCCGGCGCAGGCTGATGAGTAATCGCGGCACCGTGTCACGTTTGTTTGCAAAATAACACGGAACAAGAACCGTTTCCACCGTTGATTTTCAATACAGGTATCCCTGGAATTGGAATTTTATTTCTAGATCCAATTTGTTACTTTCAACGGAGCTTCGTAGAAAGTTATCGCGTTACCCGTATACACTCGTTTATTCCGTTGCGCAAACGGAACGATATCTACGAGCTTCTCTCGTGAGAATTTTACGAAGGAATTTTACGAAGAATATCCGATCGATACCGGCAAAGATTTTACGCACGATCGAATCTCTTTAAAGATTCCCTCTTTCGAGATGGAATTATTAACTTTCGTGTACGGAATTCAAAGTCGCATTTGTTTCTCGCGCAAAACTTTCTCCAAGGTCTTCGCAAATTCGAAAAGGGGAAAAAATTCACGAAAATTTCTCTATATTCGTGGAACAGGAGATAAATTCGCAATTTCTTTTCTCCCTTTCACTTTAAAACCACTTTCCCCTCCCCCCCCCC